TGTGCAAACAAGCAGACACGATCATCGTCGGTGCACATTTTGGTTGAGCGTGGGACGATGTTTTCGGGAGCCATAGATCAGTATACAGGTAGGACGCACATGGATCTGGGTAAACAGGGGTCCCATCGAATGTTTTCACTCTGTACTGTGGAAGGCACTATCCACATAGCAACATGACTTCTTAAATTGATATTTGGACATCTTAAACTGAAAAAAAGATATAGATCCCAATACCGTTATGTTTCCTCTCGAATAAACATATACCGTAACTCTACTGTACCCTCATTAGCACGTACTCTAGTTAACAAAGAACAGGTTTTCACAGAATTTGTTATCAGTTTTGGGATTTAAATCTCTTTTTTCATTGTTATTTTTATTTTCTCCCTCGCTCCAACCTGTATATTTTTAACTGAAATGTAGGCTTCATGCTTTATCCCAATACAATAGAATACAATAAACTCCTTCGTTGATGCATTTATCCTATTTCGGTGAAACATATGTGTGTATACAAATAGTGGTCTCGAGATAGCTGTGATCCATCAACTCGTCCTGTTTAGGCTAAAAATTAATCTATTGCTGAGAATACAAACACTCATAGTATGGTTTGTTAAAGGTTCAGTTTACAACGGGATAGAGGAAGTACATACTCTATGGGTTCACTTACCAAATAAAACCCACAGTAAGTTTCCTCCAATTTACTGCCAAACATTTTCAGTATAATAGGTTTGAATTCTGTTTTCCCGTTCTAGCTGCAACGCGCATTTTTCTACCTCGTTCAAGAGTTCACTTTTCTCTGTACCCAATTCTTCATGCGGCCCCAATTCATCAGGCGCGGATTTGAATCATGCGGACGAGGACGGACGAACCGCACTGCATGTGGCCGCATTCTGTGTTCGGCCGTCGGAGACGCACCACGAAGTTGTCTCCTGCTTGCTCGAGTGTGGCGCCAATCCCAACATGTTCGACTGTGAGGGAATCACACCGTTGCTCGGAGCGGCCCGGGCCGGGAATCGGACAGTGTGTGAACTGTGTTTGGAGGCGGACACAGATGTGAACCAAGCGGATAAGTAAGTTGGCGTGTTGTTTTGTGTAGTGTTTCATTAGGATTTTGTTGCATGATCTGTTCCCGCTGAACAATACGAATGTCACTGGTTTGACGACAGGTCCTTCAAATACCGGATTTATGTTTTACTTTATGTGACGATAGTCCTCACTGCTTCGGAATGTGGTTGCAAGAATTTTCAAGACAGTGGGGTACCACTGAAAATTGAAAACGATTGTTTGGTTCAATTGCACTGCGTCAGAGGTTGCATATAGTGAATGTGTCGGTCGATTGTATCCGAGTAATGTGTACCTGTCTGACGTGGGCTACTCAGAAGTTTCGCAGCGCTTCAGCGTGTCATTGCTTATCTAGCCCTCGTTTTTATTTCTATTGATAAAATCAGTTTAAAGCAGACGTTTTGGTGAGCAAACTAAACGAATGGGAAACAAATAGGAACGCACCAAAGCACAGGGATCACTGAGTTAATTGAAATAGCTTTAATTTAATTGTTTGATTTAAATCTGGTGGTTCAATTGTTTGAATTACTGTAACCAACTACTATTCCTAAGAGTTTTGGTTTGATGATGCACTCATAAATTTGACCTCTAAAGGCAAGAGTGTTTCTCTCTTTGTCGCACGATTCGACTTGGTCCTCTTCGCTTAGTGTTTCCACTTACAGCAACCGTTCCCGATCCGGGGTTAGTTTGAAATGTGAGCTCTTGCCTGGATTAATACACTTCATCATTTCGTTTTAATACGTTTCCTTATCAGTTTTCGTTTCTCATTCATTTGTTTGTTTTTCTGAACAGTTCTATTCGGTTCTGACTTCATCTCTCGTGCGAAACGCTTTGATTTTTATTGCAACATTTTGCCTCTGATTTTCTTGAAGAATTTGCGAAATATTCATCAGATTTAAAATTTGCAATTTTAATTTTTGATAGTTTATTGCTTATCGCTGATTCTCCTTTGGTTATGACAAATTTTGGGAATACGTACATCGATAAGGAACAAATCATTTGAACATTTGGTCTATATGGGCTGTCAAAGCTGACGTTTATAACTGTCACTTGTCTTTTAGTGACTACTAGATTCTTTCACTCCCAGACAGCTAGGACCGCAAATTCACATTCTTTTGTTCGTTCCCCGTCTACCTCCTTATGCTGCTCCATTTTTGTCTATTTATGTTAGCATCCCCAATCACGATCCATCCGAATTAACCGAATATTCGCAAATTTCGCTATTCGTCTGATCACTGGGGCTGTTTAAAGGTTTTTTTTCAAAAAGGTCGTGGCAATTTTATATCGCTTTTAGGCTTTTTGGATTGCAGTTTTTTGCATTTGGTCTGAATGATTGATAAATCCAGTGATCAAGCTTGTTGCTGCCATGACGACTAGTTAGCGCGTTTACGGAAATATTCCCAAGTAGGTGATAAAATCCATGTGATTTTACCTGTATAATTCACTACAGGAGGCTGTTTGGAAAGGCTGCATCCATCATACAGAGTAAAAACATTGTTCACCACTGAAAATCCCTGTTAAGAATCACCAGAGCATATCTGTCAACTAAGTTGTTTATGGAACTCGGTCGCGAGTGGTTGTAAATCGGACGCTCTCCTCCTTTCGGATATTCGAGGTGCCTCTAGTCAGTTTACCACCCGTCGAGAATGCGATATAGCGCTCATCCGTCACTCTCTCGATAAGTTCCGGATCTAACCAGACACCAGGAATCAACAACACGCGGGAAGCTACTGTACTTTACTCTCAAAACTTTTTCTTGGCAAGTGACATGTTTAATATGCATGAATAATTTACCTTCATAAACAAACCAATGATTTGTATTCATGCCAATACATCTCAATATATACAACTACTTGGGAATAAAATTGTCTTGGGAAAATAAAATAAAATCACATCACAGATTACTAGAAACGATTTCATCATGAGACCGGCAATCGGATTCACCACGATCACACAGTTGTTTGTCCACTCCTCTGATCATCGGGATTACTCGTGATACGGTGTGTGTGTGTGNGGGGGGGGGGGTGCGCCAGGGAAGCTGAAGTGCTTGCACAAATTGTTTTGGATACACGGAGGGGTATGTGCAGACGAATGCTGTTGTCGGTATCCGACAGCAAACCTGCCTGACATAATAGTAATATTATTAGTGTCTTTTTACTTCCTTTTTATTTGTGGATTATACAGTCAACATTCAGAAAGAGAGCCGCGATCATATAAAGGCTGCCTGGGAAAATACAGAAATAGGGAAGAATACGAAATTCTGGAAACGAGCTTTTTCGCTACTCAGTTTTTTTTGTTTGATATGTGCTTTGTGGGACTATTTCGACAAAAACCAATGGTTCTTATACTTTGATCGGATTTGAATATCTTTTTCTGCTGGTTGCACTCTTATGAAGTGTATTGGGTACATTGGACGTTTGCCTCCGTCCAAAGAGCGTGTGATCCGATGATCTGAACACCGGCCTCCAATGGATTGCGGTTTTCACACCGCCCCGATGCCTTGTGAGTCATGCTTTGGCTAGCCAAAGGCTCCGGTTGTGGATTCCTCAAACGAATTCCTCTGCCTTGGCCTGGGAAACCTGGCAGTATTCCGCCCACACGCAACTCATGGAACGTTTTTCTTCTTTATAAAAATTCTTGCACCATGATTCGCTTGGTACACAGTCTGTCCTCAGACAAGTGCGAAATATAATAATATAATAATGTTACCGATCATAACTATCGTCATGATTAAATTACAGAATCTCTGGGTCGATCTATAAGCACTACGGTGTTTTATGATTTGTAAATTGTGCAAAGAATGATTAAATTTGAGCATTTCTAATTTTAAGGAAAGGAGAAAACGTCCGGTTCATCTAGGTCTTCAAATACTAAACAGATATGGAGAGACCTTTCCAAGTTTCAACAAATCTATGAAGTGCATCATTGAACGATCTTCCGAGATGCCATAGATCGAACAAATTGAACACACAACAATTTTCTCCGAGTTTTGTTTTATAACTCCGTTGGAAGACCTCGAAGTTTCAGCGTAGTATTTAAGCACATTTATAACAGAAATTTCTTT